TAGCTGCGCACGCGGCAGGAGGTGGCTGCGCTTTTCCACTGCTTCTAGGAAACCAAGGCATGAACTGGTCCTACGGGCCAGGTGTTCATTTCTACCCATTTTACACAGGAGTTCCTTGGAGTTACTCCTGATTTACAACCAGCTTGCAATAAAAATCAGCTGTGGGAGTTTAGGTAAATGTTACAGGGTTTAAATCCAATATGACAATATAGCACAGGTAAGCAGGAAAAAAATTTGCCAAAATAGCTACTGTGCACAGTAGCTGTGGACAAAGCAAGCTGCCTTCATTTTCCAAAGTACTGTAACAAATCTCACCCTACCTTAGCAATCGTTTTGATAACTATAATTATTTCAGTTAAAGCTACTTCAAGATGAAAAAGAAAAGTTGGCATCTTTAGATTTCTTAGGTGAAAGAAGTAACTTGTTCTTGTTTAACCAGAGGTCTGTGACATGCACCTTATAATGTGAAACAGCAGTTGGCATGGGGTCAGGGGTATGTGCTGTGTTACATGGTGGTGTGTCCCACCAAGCCGTTGACCTCGTTTGCATCAGAAAGCTGTGGAAGGACTGAGGGGCTGAATCCCATCCAAGTGGGCTGCTGCTTTGTCATATTTGGCAAGCACATGCAGTTCCCCCCCCACTTAGAACAATTACCAGTGCACTCCTACCAGAGGGCAGAAAGAAGGAGCATACCAGGAAAAAGGAGCTGCTGCTGCTTTTTTCCCCTGTTTCTACTCTCCTTTGTTGTCCTGCATCCCCCGTCTCTCTTGTCTTCACCCTTCTGCTGCTGCCCAGCTCAAGACAGCTGGCCTGGGAGTTGCCAGGAGGGGGTCTGAAGCCAGATAGTTTGCATCGCAAATTCGTAGAACCACAAACTGAAAAAAGCTGTTGAGCCATCATTGTTTATAATTAGTTTTTGACTCTAGTCCCAGTCTGTTACAGGGAATGGTTTTATCTTTGTGTACGTGTGGGTGGGAAGAGAAAAGTAGAGAACTGAATCAAGGAACCAATCCTTATCCTGGGGGGAAGAAAGAATAGGGTAGTATAATCTAACCCCATGGGATCAAAGGTGGGGCCAACACAGACATAAACACCTTTGCACTGTGTTCTCTCTCCCTGATTTTCCTGGTTTAAATAGTAAATAATAAGTTGGGACAACAAAGCTCCTACCCTGCAGATGCGCAGCTTCGTTTCTGCTGGTCAGACGGCGGTTTGCCAGCCTCGGTTTGTTCAGCATGAGAGGTGCTCTCCGGTCTGTCCAGGTCTGATGCACCACGGCATTTCAGCCCCTAGAGTAAGGGTTGACATCTTCCTCCCATCACAGCTCATTTCCCACTGTGCAATAAGGGAAAAAGGAGGACAATCACACACTGAGGTGTCAAAATCCAGTTTGCAGCCTTGCCAAGGGTTTTCCTCTAGGAAAGCATTTGTCCAGGTCCCCAGGTGGGAGCAGCCGCAGGACTCCACCCAACGCGCCCCATTTCCTGGCTGGACCTGGCAGCTGGGATTCTTCGCTGCTCTGCCACCAGCCCATGTATCCTCGGGAAAAATCTTCAACGTCTTTTGTGCCCTGGCTCCCCCAGCCAGTGATGAGCTCTGTAACAAAGCCTGCCTTACATCTCACAAGAATGTCAAGTGGTTTAAGGCATGTTTACAAAAGGACCTGGAGATTTTTGGATGAAAGACATTCTGTAAGCACCATGAGGTTTGATGTGCTGCCATCTTGGTACCTGAAGGAGAACTTTAAGGTTACAAAAACCTGTGTTCAGACTCCTGTGTTCTGGGAGGGCATTTGCCTGCTTGCAGAATTAAAATCTGCTCAGACCAGAATTATCTGAAGAATGAAAAGAACCCACCTCACATGTCATTCTGTGTTCCTAAACACAGTGTGCTACTGGTTATGTGCTGCTGCACCAACAAGTCATTGTCTGGGGGGGGGGGGGGGGGGGGAAAAAACCACAAAAATTTTTAAAAAGCCTAAGATGCATTATTCCTGCAGCTGGACTGTGGGCACTGCTGGGTCTCTCATACTTACATACTTAAGTGCTGCGCTGAAAACTCTTACATTTGTTCCAAAACACGTGGTAATCAAACAACATAATAATAGAAAAAATGTACATTGCAAACTTTGTCTTGGGTGTTTGATCATGTTCATCTGATAGTGTGTTTTCATCTCAGGATAATTTAAATACTTAAAGCCACATGGAATTCTGATAATAAAATTTAGTTTGGTTAGAGTGGGATTACAGTAACCTCCAAATACCACTTCCTGATGAAGTTTAGTTTAGTATTTATTCTAGAGAAAGAAACATGGATGAGGTGGGGTTCCCTAGCTCCTAATTTCCATCCCCCCCTTATTGCAGCAGCTTTGTAGCAGGATGGATTGATTACAATGAGCAAGTTTCATATTAACAGTAACTGGCAGGGGAGAGGCTGCTCCAGAGAAGCCTTCTCCAACCTTTGCTCCTCTGGTCAAAGTGTTCTTCTGGTCCCCTGCCTGTTAGGCAGTGTTGGGAGTATTTCCACCTGGCATATATTACTTTGTCCTCTCTGTAACACTGTCCTCCAGCAGCAGCAGCCCTTCTCATCCTTACCTGCTGACACTGGGTGTGAGGCTTACTTGAGTCACTTGATGTCATCAGTTGTACCAGCTTTCAGCAAAGAGCACGAAAAAAGGTATGCAGGAGAAATTTCCTTCTGTGGCTGGACATCTAGGCTTCCTCATAGCAGCAGCCTTCTCGCTGTCTGCTGGTCTTCGTTTTGGAGAACATGGGACTGCTGGGAAGCGTGGGGCTTACGCGTGGGAAGGGCAGCCGGAGAGTTGCGTGAGGCACTGCCCAGTTCTCTTAGTCCTCAGGACAGGGTTCGGAGAGATCTGCTTTGTTTTGCTGGTGGACTTTGGGTTTATCTCTTGCATTTAAGCACATGATGGAAATCAATTTGTCATGGAGTGAAGGAGTCCATAATGCAACTGTTTGCATTACACATTGATTTCTCAGCATGAAGCCTGTCTGAGCTCTGGACATCCAGAGTTCCACTGGCTTAAATGTGGCAGGATGGTAGGAGCCGGGTTGGGAACTTGGCAAAATGCAGGAAGTTATTGTCTGGCAGCTTATTGACTATTTCCGCCTTCAGATGTTTAATTTCTTTTTAGTGAATGGGGGTTAGTCTTTGGAGAGAGAGACACACCCACACCCTCTGGTAGTGGTTTTCCAGCAGAAACGGTCCCATTTGTGCCGCTGGACTTGTTAACCAAGTTGTGACCTGGGGGACGGGGAAGAGCTGTATGGATGAAATAAGAGAATCTGTGTATTTAATTTGTGTATAAGTTTGTGCATGTTCTTCCTCTTAGATTTAAATAGGGAATGAAAAAATCGTGTTTACCACTTAACGTGGCTACTCAGGAGCATTCAATAATTCTGTAGATGACAAATTATTGTGATCAGTTAGTGAATCAAAGCAAAGCAGTTGTTCTCACTAAGCTGAATGAATTGTGTCCGCTTACCTCGCAGGGACTTTCTGCAGACATCCCGGTGTCAGGCTGCACAGGGCTGCCGAGGGCAGCTGCTCCTCGCACTAACTCACGCGCCCAAGGACAGAACTTTGTGCTGAGTGCTCCCTTCTATGTTATTGACTTCAGTAGCAAATCACCCACTGACGTGAGTGATGCCAGGGTGAACTCTGTAAGGGTGTTGTGAATTCATCCCCGAGTCATTACACGTTGCCCTGTTCCTACCGGCGGTGTTCAGGATGTAACAGATTCAGTGTACGTAACAGCGTGGCCTCTTGTTTTGCATTATTTCCAAGCGAGGAAGAAATCAAGGTGCTTTAAAAACCAGAACCGTGTATCTAAGTTGGAACAGAGTATCCTTGCACAAGACAGGACAATTAAAAGGTATTTTCTGAATTTCTTGAGTCCTCCTTGCACACAGGGTGATTTCCTGACCTCTTCCCATCTCATCCTCCTTTTGACAAAGACATGCTGATCAGTAGCAGAAATGCCACGTGCCCCTTGAATGATCAGAGGAGGATCCACCCCAGTAGGTACGCGTAGCAGCGCCGTCGCACATCCCGCAGTTTGTAGTTACATCAGAGCTGGAGAGGTTTCTAAACAAATACTGGCAATGAGCACGCAAATCACAGCCTCTTAGTTGGCTGCATGGCAAGTACAGAGGCAAAGGGGCTGAGGTCAGGTCATAAAAAGTTTGGGAAGTCAAAAAAAAAAAGCATGGGAAGTTGTGTGGAATTCCAGCACCTCTGTCCTTCCTGGGAGGAAGACAGGCTGCTGAAATCCTGAGTCTGTTTTGTGTTTGACACAGCAGGCTGATGGCTCCTTTTGACTTTCTGGTTGGCAATGGACATTTTGGAAACCAGCGAGCACAGTCAGCCTGACTGGACAGTTTGCTCCGGAGTTAATCCCAGGCTGACACCTACAGTTCTTTGGGGAGCTGGGGTTCTCCTTGGGGAGCTGGATTTCAGCCCCTCCCGCTGTATCTGGCCCATGAGGAGACTTCTGAACAGTCCTTACTACCAGAATTATATTAAAAACAAGAGAGAGGAGAACAGCAAGGCAGCAAGGGTGTTCCAGTGAGGTCCAGAGGGGAAGCTGTCGGTTCCCACATCTGGTTTGCGGATCTGTGGTGGTCCGGGAAGCGCTTCCAGGTGGTCTCCAGAGCTGTTTCCTTCACAGCAGTGGTTCTCCAGCACTGCCCCTTCTCGCTGGTTACAGCCCAGGCTCTGGACTTTTCGGTAACACCAGTGAGGAACGGACGGGGAGGCAGCTGGGGTCTCGGTTTTGGTTTGCCGGAGGTCAGATAGGTAGGGCCCATCTGGACAGGTTTGCTAATACTTCATAGGCTTCTGCTTCTCGGTGCGTCTTTCAGAGGGGCTGTGTGGAATCAGGAGCTGCTCAGCATGGATGAGGAGGTCAGAATCTGCCCCTTGAGCTGCAAGAGTGACATCCATTAAGAGTACGGCGTTTCTGTTTCACATTTTCACAGCTTTTACAACTGGGATAGAAATCTCAGCACTTCCAATTCCAGCCCAAATTACCAAGTGATTGCAGAAAATACCTGTGGACTACTCTTCAAGAACAAAAGTGACAGGAAAATAATAAATGTGGATCCCAAGGTAAATGTCTTTTTTTTACAATACTCTGAATTTCCTTTATGCTGTGGAGTTTGACTGCTAAACTGTTGTGTCCAGCTCCAAATCGTGTCTTTATCAATACACACCCAATATTTCAGATCTCCTCAGGTGTGCCGTTCCCCTTGCTAACAGAGCTGCTCTGGTCCCTGTCAGAATGGATTTAACCCGCCTGGTTTGTGGCCGAGCGTGCCTCGGCCTTTCCCGTGTGACGACAGGAATCAGAGGGTAAACTGCCGGATACAGCTGGAAGCTTTCTGAAGTGGGGTTCCTCTTACGTGCTGCCCCTTTCCCTGCCCTTTCTCTGTCCCACCAGAGCTATGAGCTGTTGCCGTTACAGACAGCGGCTACAGCCTGTGAACGGCCAGGAGGGCTGGGGAAGGGGAGGTGTGGCAGAGGGGACAGGCTGAGGTGGAAAGCGGGACTGGTGGAAGATGAGGACTGAAGCATGGACGTGTGTAAGCAGGTATATCTGGTGTGGAGTGACACACGTGCCTCCAGCTAAAAGGAAAAAATGGCTAAAATGTTGGCAAGGTGTCCTGGGACTGGTGGTCCTTGTATTCACCTGCTCTTAAAAGTCAGATCTCTGTTACGAAACATGCCTGCAGGTGGATAAAAATAAATAAATATTGGTTAACAATAAATAAATATTAGGCTACTTTGAAACAAAAGCTGCAGCTTGCAGGAACTGTAATATCCCAAATCCTGTCAGGTTTTTACACCAGCAAATCCAGAAAGCAGAATCAGCAGGGACCATCTTCCCTGAGCATTTCTGCAGTGGTGAACCAAAACCAGCCAAATTCCTTTCCCAGCCACACACAATCCTCCTTCGTCCTCATTAATACAAAAGACATGAGAAGTCCTAAGGAAAGCAGCTCCGTTAAGGTCATCGAGTTCTTATGGCAGCTTGAGATTGTCACTGGCATAAGGGTCAAACTTGGATTTTAAACCAATCCCTCCCAAAAGATAAATCTGACACTAGATACATCTTCCTGTGGAGAGCTGTGTTTTTCCAGCACCCAGGAAATTATTCAAAAGGATTTACAGGTGAATAAAAGAAAGGAAGATACTTGTGCCTTAGTAGTGCCATAACCTGGATGGATGTTGTGGACTCTGTGTCTCTTATATACTATTGACAACACAAACCTAGGAATTGCTTCCACCTAAAAAGGGCTCCGATCCTGTTATTGCTGGAGTTGATTGGTCTCCACCATTTATGTACATAGCAGTTGAATCCAAACAAAGCAAACGCTCAAGTCACACTCAGACATCCCTTTTTCAGCCATAGTTGAAAGCTGATTAAATTGCTATGGGTATTTTATCTTTCATATTGAGAGCTGAATGGGTAATAACATTATAGCCAGCTTCCCTCTGTAGGAAACCAACTGTGTTCCTCTGGTGCCAGCTGCGCTTTTTTAAGTTTTACAGCTGAAATCCTTGGACTGTAGATTGGATTTGACAAGCACACCCAGGCTTTGGTTACTCTCAAAACCAACATGAACTAAGCTGGGCAATAATTTGTTTGGATTTCTACAGAACTGATCTAGGACGATGGTTTCTTTGATGTTCTTCCCACAAAAGATGGTCACATATGAATAGTTACAGTCCAAAATATCAAATTATATGCATTTCAAAATAAGTGCATTGGTTTGTTAGAAATTCAAAAATGCATACCTAAAAATGTGTCTGGTTGCATGGAAAGTGGGCCACCAGTCCAACATCTGCAGCTGCAGAGCATCTGTACCAAATAACCAGCTCTTTAGTGTCTACGTGAAAGGTCCTCGCGTGCCAAGAGCCACACTAAGAAGCGTTTGTGTGTTGTACATTGTGTCCCCTCTCAGGTTGCAGGACACAGGCCTGTGAGTCCCCATGAGATCCATCTGGCTTTGGCTTTTCTGTAACACTGATTGAGAACAAGCTTTTGGGGAGTGCTTGCTGTTGGCCAGAATGAGATCAGCACGAGTTGTCTCTCATTGGGTTCAGCTTGAACAGACTTAGTACCAGCTGCGTGATCTTTGCAAGCAGACCTCTTTGGCAAGTCGATGGTCCAGTTCTTCCTGGTTGTGTTTAGTTACAAGCGTTCTATCACTGTCTTTGCATCTGCTAAAAGCGATGCAGGGGAAACAGGCTGCCTGATGGTGGGACATGAACGTTCACTGAGAAATCCCCATCTTCAAAGCTGGTTGCATTTATCAAACTTTATGGTCCAAGGGAAGAAGAATAATGAAATTAAAAACCCATGCCTTTCCTCTCTCCTGACCGGGTGTCTGTAATATTGTGTGTTTCAGGCTTACCCAGGAGACGACACCACACGGACGCCTGTTGAAACAGATCTCTATCTCCATGTCGTTATCTACGACCATGTCGTCAGAAGAGGGAACTGAGGTCCATCTGCGGGGCTGTTCTTCCAGTGGTTTATTTAACTATTTTAAAGAAAAAAAAAGAAAAGAAGAAAAATAAAGAGTTGGGAGGTCTTTACCTTGTGTTCAGGGTTAGAAAGGGAGATTTCTGCACTGGTTTAGAGTTGGTTTGTGCCTGGTTCCTTGGAGGAAGTAAAGTGGAAGGAACACCAACACCCCATCCTACTTCAGAGTCCCGGTGTATCTGGGCCCCTTGTTTGTCCTCTGTGAATCCCGTGGGGTTTGTGAAATGCAAAAGCACCGAAAGGGAAGACAGCAGGTTTGGACCCAACTTTTCCCACTACTCCTGAGGCAGCAGGGGGGCTGGGAGAGACAGAGGTGCTGCGCTCTTTCCTGGAGTAAAGAAGAAAATACTGTCCCATAGCTCCCCAGCAACAAGATATTTTAAATTCTTCCTGGGAGACTCTTCAGGTAGACCTGAACCTCTGTTGAGGTGCTAACAGCATTTAATGTGGACCAAGCCATTCATGGGGTAGCAGGGAGAAGTTGTAGCAAATAGACTGCTAAATGTAAAGAAATCTGCAGCTCTTTGATGGCATTAGTTGTTCCTCAAAGGCCACTTTTCATCCATTCTTGCTCTTGTTGCTGTTCTAGTACCAACTTGCCAGAAGTTCAGGCAGCAAAGCAGTGGCCCAAGGGACTCTCTTCCGTTCCCAGGGCACTTGGGTAAGTTGCCCGCACTTACATGACCCAGCTGGTATAACCACCAACGTAGCTGTCTGCTCACTGCAGAACTGGAGAATGGCACAAAGCTAAGCAGCAGAAAGAACTAGCAGGAAACAAAAGCAACAATTACAGAGAAAAGAAAAAGGATGCGGAGGTGAACGCAGAGAGAACAAAGGCAGAAAATGGCTGGATAAAATTCCCTAGACCTCATTCTTTAAGGGACTGGATGATTTTAATGATCCTTTCTGGCCTCAGTATTGTGAGTTTGTGAAAAGGACAAGGAGGCAACTCGTACAAGAAAGAAGATGGTAGCAGCGCTGCTGGGCTTACCATAGGGTGGGGTTTATCTGCCAGCCTCATCACAAGCATGTTCCCTTTGGAAAAGGCTGAGAGCCTAGGTCTTAGCAGTTGGCGCATTAAAGATCCCTTTACTGCAAGGAGAGGGAGTGTTCCAACAATTACAAAGTGAAAGTTGTTACTTCAAAGCTGCAATAATTTGGGAAGGACTTAGAAGCGTTGTTTTCTTTCCCATAAAACTTTCAATGTTCTGAAGTTCTGCCATTTCCAAAATATAATAAAATCTTTTACTGTAACATCTTGCTTTTATACAGAGTGCTTCATCCCTTAGCACCCTGACATTTTTGCAGCAGATACGCCAACAGAAGGTTAGTTCACTCATCCCTGAACTGCAGCCAGATTGCAGATGAAGCACCCAGAGCATGGCAAGGCTGCTCAAGGCTTCAGGCCTTCTCTCCACCACCGAGGCTCTGCCTCCATAGCTGGGTCAGCAGAGCCCTCTAGTGCAGGCAGAGCAAATGCCGGCAGCAGGAGTTTCCCTGCCTGCTCAGGGCAGTCCCGTCTCCCAGAGATGGGAGCAGAGGGAACCCAGCACCCACTGGAGCCCTTCACATCAAAGCGGGTGGAAATACCAAGCTAAAGACCTGCTCAGAAAAACAGGCAAAGACAAAGGATGCTTCTTCCCAGGGCTATTAACGAAAAGAATAAAATCCCCAGACTGTGGTAACTCTTTGATTTTGTGGAGGGCCCTGCATTGGAAATGTACGTCTCCGGAGGGAAGACCTTGCACTGTCGGGGCAGGTTTCTCCTGCTCTTGGTGCTTCTAGGCGTTTCCCTCATTTAGCAGTACCAAACGTGAAGATTTCCATCATGCCTTGCATCTTGCCTGAAAACTAGGCTTCTGTGATGGACTCAGCTTTGCTTTTCTGCCCCTGTGTCTTGAGGCAGCTCAAGGGAAGGGCTAGAGATTGACTCATAAATATTTCTATAGCATTAAAGCAAAATTCTCTTTATAGTACAGCTTAGAATTTGGGCTATATTTTTTCAAGACAAAATCAGAACAACTGGGCCATATTGAAAACGTTAGTTTTTGCCTCTCTTGAACACTGGAGAAGGAGAAATCCTCATTATGAAGGCTGGTAGAAGCGACAATGGTGGAAAGGGTATGAATTCTGTTTTTCATTCCTCTTGACAACTGAACTGTCTTTTTTTCTCAATCTAATCGGATTCTAAAGTGATGTTAAAAAACCTAAATTGGAAAGTGGTCTCTGGAGTTTGGAGAATATAATCTCAGAATTATAATAATAAATCCATGTCACGAAGTAGGACTTTATAGAAGTACATTTTCAACTTCAGAAGTTATTTCCACAAATTCAGCTGCCTCTGTTTTCATCTTAGTAATTAACACTCTTGATGCTAAAGAACAGCAGGAAGTCCAGGAGAATCTTGTGCCTGCAGCTGTAGGAAAATGGAAGGAAATTTGGATCCAGGTGGGCTTTCCGTGTTTCCAGGTCACTGTGTGCACCAGAGCAGCCAATGTCTCTACAGACAGGTAACTGAAAGGCTGTAAAGATGTAGGAAACCTCATCTCTTGCAGTAGGTGCTGACCTCCTATGGAACTGTAACTTCATGCTATTTCTGACTTGGGCAATAGACCTAACTTGGGACAAAATGTAAACTGTAATATCTGCAATGAAAGAATGGTGTTCACTGAGTAATTAACAGAATTACTAGCTGCTCAGTAATCTAATTTGATTCCTTCCCACCCATGCTTGCTAATCTCCTGCTGCCCTGTCTCATCTGACAGTCGAAAGCGAGGACCAGAGCATTATCATAAATGACAGCTCCCGAGTTACATGTCATAGTCCTTTGCTAATCCTAACTGGAAGAAAGTCTAGCATCTGCTGTAAGTGAAAATCTATCCCCAAACACTGCTGTAATCTGGCTTGCATTTTGCAGAAAAGCTTAATTTCCTTATACAAGTAGGAGAGTGCCTAAAAAGCAACTAAGTGCTGTTACACTCGGTTTCCCTAAAATGCCAGAGGTGGTTCTTCCCAACATCTTGTCACTGTTCAGTCCTGGGTAGACACATAGTGAAGTGGATGTGCAAAACATACAGTAATCAAGAGAAAAACTTTCCAAGGACAGATAACCACATGAAAGCTGCCCAAACGTGTTCCTATCCTCTGTGACTTTTTAGCAGAAACAAATAGGAACTGCCCAGCCTGAAATTATTGCTTGCTGTAAAGCTGTGGTGAATGGGAATTTCTCCATTCTGTTCTGAAAAGAGACTCTGGTATTATCGCTGGTCGTGACATTTATTGCAGGTATAAACTTCACACACTGCTGCAAGAGAACTGATTTTAGGTATTGATGGGAAAGTGCATCCTTGCAAGGATCCCCAGGACTCCAGATTTTATACCAGCTGGGGGGGGGGCGGGGTGTTTGTGTGTTTTCAAGCATGTTTAAACTGCGTACATGAGTTACGGTTTACAGGTTTTATTAGGCTGTATATGTTTTGGATTCTTTTCTGTTTCTTTGCCTCTCTTGCCAAAATCATAGTTTTGTTCTTTTTATGTGGAGCCTGGATCTTTGGTCTTGCTTACACGTTCGGAACTGTTGTTGTTGTTATTTTGGATAATAGGGTGAAGCTGAAAAGTAGCACAAGATTGATGGTGAACAGCTCCATCTTGAACCACAAGCAGAATCACAGGAAGAGTTATGATTTAGTACAAAATATGATGCTTTGTAAAGAAAAGTCATCTTACACCAAAATCTGAAGTTCTTTGTTCTTAATCTGTTGCATCAGGATGCCTTGACAGAGTTAGAAACTTTTCCTATTACATGAAAATAAATTCTGGTGAGTTGGGTGTGATTTTATGGAGAGGTGTCAGCAGCTAGCTGTGCATTTTGGTTTTGTGAAAGGCTGGCCGGCTGAGGAACCCAAGCAGTGGTGGTAGGTAAGCCTCACTTTTTAATTTGACAGCTGTATGTAGGGTACCAGCTCAGAAAATGCAGCAGCACTTCATGAACTCTCAAGTTCGTGGTTCCAGCAGCAGCCTCGCCAGTCTTGTTTCATCTTTAAAGCTGAAAGAAGGAAGTGGGGGATGGCAGTGCCACCTAAACAGCTGACCCCGGTCTCACGTAAAGAACAAGAAGACCCCCAAGCAGCCTACAACCTGGTCATCAGATGTTCTCCTTTTGGCCATCAGCAAAAGAGGTTGTAGGGGAAAATCCTCCATTAACTCAACTCCCCACATGGAGAAAAGAAATCAGATTAAAAATGAATAAAACCTTTGGGCAACTCTCTGCGAGGCAGGCAGGGACAAGCAGTGCAGGCCAAGCCACTGTTCCCACTGCAAAGAAAACAAAAACACAGGTGCTGAATATACCGAAGCCATGCAGATTAGCCCTGTGTGCAGTACATGCTCTTTACAAGAAGAAAACCGTCACTCTTGTTGTTTGGCTATTGTTCACTTGAGGCGTGTTTTATTTCAGCTCGACTCCAAGCAGAGTTATTACAGATCCCACAGCAGCAGTTCTCTGTGATGAGACAAACATGTGATCTCCAGGCCCTGGAGAGAAGATTACGATGGGAAGGCACCTCAGACGGGGACACTGGTGCTGTCGACCTGAGCAAACACCCAGTCTAGCGAGCGTAACAGAGCAAGCGTAGTGGGTCTGCGTAACGGCCGTGCGCGGGAGCAGCTTTGGTACAGGCTTCTCCCCCGAGCCTGCCTCGCCAAAGGCTGTTTTCTGGACAGTCACAGACCAAGAGCTGGGAGGTTTAAAGAGAGCAGCCACCTCTTTGTTCCCCAGTGAAGGAAAGGGGAGAGGCAGCGCTGCGCGATGCTGTGTGGTGCTGGCTGGCCAGCTGTTGGGTGTTCTCCCGTGCTGGTTGAGGGCTTCCCTGTCACGTACACGGGCATGTGTGTCCATAAGGGATGTAGGGGAGTGACACAACTTGGGGATAAGCGAGTCATCCGGAGCTGGCAGCGGAG